TTTGTGGTTGTTTTGTGTCTCTTTGTGGTTGTTTTGCATCTGTTTGTGGTTGTTTTGTGTCTCTTCGTGGTTGTTTTGTGTCTCTTTGTGGCTGTATTTTCCTCTTTGACACTCCACAGTCTCCAGTCAGAGGTCGTGTAGCCTGCTGTGCAGCGGTCAGGTGACCACTCACCTGCGGTAGGTGTACAGGTAGGGCTGGCGGACGGCCTGCAGCGGAGCCCAGATGATGAAGCCCAGCAGGGCGAAGGGCAGCGATGCGAAGAAGAGCAGCAGGTAGAGCGGCGCTGCGATCAGGACGCAGAGCGACAGGAAGGAGCAGGGGTCCTGAGCACGCTGCCGCTTCTCCAGAGAGGTGGCCACGCAGGACGCCAGCAGCCGGTCCAGCAGCCAGTAGCAGGGGAACACCAGGCTCCACGACAGCCCGTCCAGGAAGTGCAGGCAGGCACTGGTGTAGGGGGCGCTGTGGAGCACCATCACTTCCTGCTCTCTGGCCACTCCCACATACACTCTCTGCACAGGCGAGCACAGGTGAGGTCTGTGTGCAGGTACACCAACAGAAGAAATAGAGCACTCTGATGTAGACCCTCCCCCCTCCTCGGAGAAGCTACTCTACATGGTTTGGAGGTTTTAATGGACTCAGGTGAGCGTCTCTCGGCTCAGCAGGTAGAACCTCCGCAGGACGGGTCGCCCAGGTGAGGGGCGGCGGCCATGTTGAAAGCTTCTCCCTCGATGACGGATCTGTGATTACCTCCGGTGATGGGCGTCTGATAAACGTCACGACTTCATGGACCTGCAGAGCATCAGAGCGATAAGAAGGAAGAGTCAGACAGTGTCTGATGTTCATGAAAAACAAAATCAGCCTTCATTTATCCCACAGCAGGGAAAAGTTCAGCGTTACAGAAACACACAAATAATAATAATGATACACAATATACCAATAATAATGAGATGCAATAAGATGTAACGTCATTTATGCAATATTAGGATTAATACTAATGTTGTGCTAAAGACAGAAACAATAAATATTCTCACATTGTCACTGTTTTGCAGCTTCACCATAAAAAATGTTCAAATGAGTTAAGTTCTGTCATGCTAACCTCTAAGCTAGTAGTTAGCAATTTAGCCTATTAGCAACCAGGCTAACATAACATTGTGTTAACTACAGCGGTAATACTGACATTCTGTTAATTTGTTGAACAATATATAAAATATGTTCATGTCATCACCTTCTTGTCATTTCACCATAAAAAATGTTGTCATGCTAACCTCTAAGCTAAAGAAATACATGCGAGCTAATTTCAATACCACCAGAGCAACTAGCTGTTAGCAATGATTCCCAGGAAATGCGATACATACAATATAATTTTAAAATATTCTAAAATGAACCCGTAACTTTTAATGGGTTTTAAGTTTTTTGCTAAAACGTGAATATGTATCATTCAGTCAAACTAGCTGGCAGTAGTTAGCAATTTAGTTTAGTAGCAACCAGGCTAATTTAAAACTGTGTTAGCGACAGCAGTAATTCTGACATTCTGCTCATTTGCTGAAGAATAAAATATAAAATATGTTCATATCATTACATTTTTTTGTGATTTCAGCATGAAAAATGAGTTCTGTAATGCTAACCTATAAGCTAAGGAAGCAAACAAACTTCATTTCAAACAGCCTCGGTGCTGTTAGCAGTTAGCCATGAGTCCCATAAACTTTTAAAAAGTATTATGCTAAATATTCTAAAAACCAGTCCGGATATATTTACATTGTTTGCTGTTAAAATCTTCTTTCGTGAAATTATTAGAAGTTTCTGAGCTAGCTAGCAGCGCTATTAGCAAACAGGCTAACACAGAAGAAGGTCTGGGAGGTTTAATCCACAATACAAATTAAACCAGCTGAGCAGAGGTTAACATCTAATGTTAAATCCAGTAAACTAATGAAACACAACCAGGTTACATGAGTCGAATTATCAGGTACATTTAAATAAAGAGCTAAACGACAAAGTTAGCAGTGGATCGTAAATTACCAGTTTATTCTGTGTATGTCAACCTTGTTCAAACCCGTACAACTAAAATATGAAAAATAAAGTTTTGCAGATCCAAACTTCTTCAAAGACACCAAATATATCAGAACGCTGGCAGAAGAAAACATAAAATGATGCACAAGATTCATTAAAACACCGAGTCTTGAGTTTGCGTCCAAAAACGACAGCGTGTGTTTATTACTGATGCAGAAAGTGGGTGTAAAAATATAATATTAATTATGAGCTGGAACAAACCGAGGCTGTCAGTCAGAGAGGAGTGATTTAATTTAGTGGAAACAAAAGAGGGAAAGTGTGTTTGAGCACAAATAGAGATTCAACAGTTTAAATAATTAAGGTGCTTTTTTTTTTCCCACAAAGGAAACGTTGTGAGGGAACAGCTGCTGGAGACAATAACTGACGAGCAGAAAGGCCGATAATCAATACGACACTGAACGGCCTCCTCCTGCTGAAAACTTAACCGGAGAAAAACGTCCCTAAACGCTTCTTTAACCAACGCGAGCCGCAGACAGTCGATCCGGCAGCATGAATAAATGATGAACGGATTATTTCGTTCATGTCAACAGCCGGCGGTTTGAGGAACACAAAGAGAGTCTGACCTCAGCGCGACCTCGGATACCTGCACAGCAACGACCTCGACAAGCGAGTCGTCTGCGGCAACACCAAGTCCCGCCAGGATCCGCCGACCCGAACATGTACGCGATGTACAAACCCTCGGCTGCACATCACAGCCAGCAGAACCAACCTGGCAACACTCAGAGAACATACGATGCTGTTCTATCTGAACTTCCCAGCTTGCAAAAAATAAAACACTAATCCATGTATACGCTCATAGTTATGCACAGAATTCAGATTTATTGTACATTTTTATGTGACCAACAGGTTCTTTTAGCTGGAACTGAAAAAAAATTAATGCAAAGTGACCACAACCAAACCAATCTGGACTGGTTT